GAAAACACAATTCAGTCCATTAATAGCGAGCGATCTGATGTTTTTGTATGACAGATATACAGCGATTCACTGTATGAAAAAGTCTCAAAAGTGTCCCCAAAACTTCTTGCTCCATCGCCCCCATATCGCCCCCTTTTTGTTCCTTCGCCCCTGTGTTGCCCCTTTTTGTTCCATTGCCCCCCTGAAAAATGAAATCGCCCCCTGGGGGGCAATATCGCCCAGGTTAAGAACCACTGGTGTACATAACTGAGAACTTGTTGGCAGTTATAGGAAAATCTGTTCTCCTAGGTTTCAGGTCTTGCTCAATTATGATGCAAGGTCAAGGAGGAGATGCAGCTATGGTTGTGCCTTGGCATGGAATGTTGGCAACTGTTTCATTCTGAGCATCCCATAGCTGGCCTAAAACAGAGGTGTTAGGTTGGGCAGAATTCCCCTGCTATGATATGCTTGCTTTTTCTGCTTTGTTTTTTAAACATTTAGATCATAATCGGAAACCTAATGTGGTACCTAAACACATTAATTTTCCTCCTGTTTTAGGTTTTATTTTTCTCTATCTTAATACATTCTTTAGGCTATCAGCATTGCCTGAAAATCAGTATTCAGTATCTGGTTTTATAAAATAAAATTTCAGTTTATATATAAGTTGAAATATGGTAGCAGTCCAACTTCCAGACTTACATAAAGTCCATGCAGACTGTTTTGTTTCTGAATGTGACTCTTTGCCTTTTGTAAATAAACACTTTAAAAACCCCAAACAATGAGGTAAAAATATCAATATTGTATCATTTTCTCCATAATATCTAGTATTTCAATTCCAGTTTCCAAATGTGCTAATAAAAGGATCCTTTTGAATCTATACTGAAAATCTGGAATATTTCACATCTGCTAATGAATGTGCATTCTCTGTGTGTTCCTGTTTTCTGTGGTAATGCTCCTTAAATGGTAAATTATTCCTCACTAGTCTTTTGAATTTGGTGTATATAGAGTTAATAAATTTGTAAAGCTCATACTTATTTTTCCTGCTGATCTCATTTAGAAAATGAATTTTTAGGAACATCCTGTGATGACTAAATCAGCTGTTGATTCCCCAATACCTCTTTGGACTCAGCAAGATTGGACACAAAATTCTCCATCTTTTCCACCTCATTATTTAAAATGTAAAGCAAGTTTGAAAGACTGCCATTGGGATTGAAAAAAATGAAAAGGGTTGATTAAGCTGCTCTTTCCACTGTTCAGTCTTTCTAAAATATAAATTATGCAAAGCAGAAAAAAATGCTGATGTTGGCTCTTCCTGAGCATAGAGTCATTCAAAAGACTTTTTTCAGTATAAGAGTTTTTTCTGTGACTGTCAATCAAAAATATTAGTTCATTAGTCCTGCAGGTCCTAATTGATGACAACATAGCAGGAAGTTATTAATCATAAAATTACACGCAACTATTCACATGGAAAAGCTCAATGAGTCATCTTATTTCTCTTCCAGACTTCATTTATTCATATTCATAATCTTTGGAGCACTGGGGTTCATCAGGCACCACCTTTCCAGAATTGGTTCCTTATCTAATTTGAAAATCTAGGGAGTCTTATTTAAGAATCCTCCCATCTCATGAAGTTCATGGAGTTGGGGATGAAACAACGGGCATTTTCCAAAACCCATTCTCCATGGTCACTCCCACTCCCATATCCTGGAGATATGCTGGGCAACTTCCTTCCTCAAATTCTCAAGTCTATTTTATTTCACTGTGCCTTTAATTCTGATTGATTCTAGGCCATCATTATACTTATATTTATTTAATTTTGTATTTTATTTTTGTATTACTTTTTTTCATTTCTGCTTTTTGTAACACGGCCCAGGGCTGCATGAATTGGAATAGTCAACAAACACTAAATCTATGACCAAACATACAGACTTTTTTATGTTACATCCCAGATCCTAGTGAATGATTAGAAAATCAGTGAATCTTAGAATGTTAGTTTCACATGAAGGAAAAGTAAACTGGAAAAACTGAATGTAGGATAGAACATTAAAGCTTAAGAATAAATTTTAGTTCTGATTTATTGATCAATAGTAAATTAATTAATGTCAAAATGAGCAATTTTAAGGATGTGATTACCATACCATTGTTCCTCTAACTTTTCCATGTTGTAACCATGTTTTAACCTTTTGCTACTCTTACTATGTATTACCAGTTAAATCCAAAACTAAATAACTTTTAATCTGGTTTATTTTAAATAAATATAAATTTTGAATACTTTGTTAGAATATGAAATTGTGCCATTGTACACTTGGTTTTAGTAAATGGTACACCATTTGATGCTCATAAAAACATCTTCAAAAACAAGGCCTCTTCCTGAACATAAGTGTCAAGAACAGATGGCAAGAATATACAGAAGAACTTTATGCCTGCAACAAAAAGACCCAATTTCCCAAGGATGATGAAGAAAGGGATGCAGAAATAGGACCAGCCATCCTTTAGGAAAACGCCATGTGGGCAATGATCCAGTTGCTAAACAAAAAGGTCCAAGATATTGAACCATCCCTTCAGAATTGCTGATGGCTGCACCATCCATATCCATCATAGCTTTGTGCCAGAAAATTTGGGAAAAGAACACATGGCCACAGGATTGGAAACAATCAGTCTTTGTCCATTGCCAAAAAACAGTGACTTTAAGGATTATCTAATTAGCACACAGTTGTCCTTATCTGATACTCTAGCCAGATTCTTCTTAAGATCATACAACAATATCTGGCACTATACAGTATCTGATCGTCAAAAGGGTCTTACCTGAAGCTCAAGCTAGTTTCACTATCCATATTGCAAATCTATGCTGGAGCATGGAAAAATCTGAAGAATATCAAAAGAACATCTACATCTATTTATTGACTACAAGAAAGCCTTAGATTGTATTGATTATGACAAGCTGTGGAGAGCCCTAGAAGACCTGGGGTGCCAACACATCTGATCAAGTTGGTACAGTTGGTGCACCACATTTGTGCACATCCTGTACACAAATCAGGAAGTGTCTGTGAACGTCCTATGGACACACTGACTGATTCAAAAAGAGAAAGGGGTGCTGCAAGGTTACATTTTTTTCACCTTTTTCATTCAACTTTTATGCCAAAGTGATTGTGATGACACTGGAACTTGAAGAATTAAAAATCAGAGTAAAGATTGAAAGAAGGAACATCAATAATCTTTAATATGCTAAAGACAAACTCTTCTCAGAAACCAAAGAAGGCCTGTAATATCTGATAAAAAAGATTAAAGAAGAAGCTAGACATTTGGTCTCTTCCTGAACATAAAAAGGACAAAACTCATGACCAGTATAAAAACTAGAAATGTCTAAATAACAATTGGCAGTGAAGAAATTGAATGTATGCAAGAATTCACTTTCCTAGGATCACAAATTGATCAAAGCAGGGAATGTAGTGCAGAAATAAAGTATACAATCGCACTGTGTCATCCAGCATTGATGGATATAAATCAAGTATGGAAAATCAAGGGCTGGCAAATAAATGCAGATTAATATGCACTATTTTATGCTCCATAACTAGTTATGGTTGTGAAAGTTGGAGCAAAGCAGGATAGGAGGAAATTTGACTCAATCAGGCTATGATGTTGGAGAAGGTCCTGTACATTCCTTGCACAGAAAAATGACAAGTAAGTACAGGAATGTATAAAATCAGATATCTCACTGGAAAAGGCAATTATGCTCAGAATGGTCAGTGGTAAAAGAAAGAAGCTGCCATAAAACACGATGGCTAGATGCCATCAAAGCTGATACCAGCCAGATCATGAAACAATTTAAAGAAGCCATACAAGACTGGAAAATGTGGGTCATAGATTTACCAAGAATCAGAAAGCGATTTAACAGAAAGCCTCATTACAGCTGATTTTATAGAACTGAGATATATTGTGTACATATTTGATATAGCAAACATTGTTTTGGATGTACTTATGGTTGTAATACAAAATAAGACATGTGACATGTCTGAGAGAAAGCTATGGGTTCATTAGTTTCCCCTTTTGCTTTTACTAAGGTGACAGAATTTTGCTGGAAGGATTAAATACCACTGATGTAAACTCTGATTTTGTGGAATATGTGCACATTGGCATTGCAACGTTATTCAAAATGTTGGAACTAGTTACAAAAGAGGAGTAGATGAATCATTCTAAGCTTAGTGGCAAGAATAATTCATGTGAATTTCAAGAAAGACAATAAAAATCAAGAAACTTGAACTCATAAGGATATAAGGGATATATTTGTTGTGTCTATCCTCTTACCCTGAAATGTGATTTAAAGTACAGTTGGGAAAGTTTACCTGACTGGAAACAGAGTGACAGCTAATGCTGTTGAGAAGGTTGAGATGGCAGAGATGTAATATATACTCTTTAGCTGTCAGTTATAAGACAATATCACTACATTGCCTTTGAGGAACTGGCTAGTCTTGATCTAAGACTAAGGTATTATGAATTGATAAAGTGCAGAAATAGACAGAAGCAAAGGATTTAAGGTTTTCCACAAATATAAACAAGAGGTAACCAGGTCACAGGTTTCTGCCATAGCCCACTGAGAGCTAAAATGTTCCAGTTCCTTAACTTCATTGTTTTATTCTCAGTGCAGATATGCAAGATTAGTGAGAACATTGCTCCTCCCTGTGACTATTAATGATCCTAATACTTAGGAGCTGTGAGGATGAACAAGTTGAAAAAATATTGGTATTCACTATGTCTACTAGAAATTCTATTTCAACAGGTTGGTATGAATGAACTCAATTGAAAAATGTTAAGTTTGAGGTGATAGGTGGTTACTTGATGAGGAATCATTGAGAATTAAGCCTTATCCATGGATTGGCCCATAGGAGGAAGTAGTATGATTTCAAGCAAATGCAAGTGTGATCTGTGCATTCATTTTCATATAAATTATATAAATAAAAGATTATGCTTTATTTTGTTCTTAATATGTTTAATTATTGAGCATACATATGTTTTCTTTATAGTATTTATTAATTCCAACATGGATGCAAGCAAGAAAGCAGATCTTCCAGTCTTAGTGGAAACAATACAGCAGAAGGCAAATCCCGATCGCCACCCTATCCCATCCATTTATGTACCAGAACAAGGTGGTTACAAGGAAAAATTTGTGAATGCAGTCGAAGACAAATACAAATGTGAAAAATGTCATCTCATCTTGTGTAATCCAAGACAGACAGAATGTGGGCATCGCTATTGTGAGACCTGCATGAGTTCTCTGTTGAGGTTAGTCATTTTTCATATATATATATATATATGTATATATATATGAATTGGACTAAAAAAATGAAACTTGGGATTTTAAACCTGTATCTCAATTCTTTCTTTGCTGTTTACTTGCAATTGACACATTAAATAACAATACTGTATGCATTAGGTACTTGCAGAAAGACTGACATACAATTCAGCGTAAACATAGGTTAGGTTTGTATTGAGAAATCCACTACTCATATAAATTTAATATAAATTAATAAGTACATCTTTTTTAACCCAGAAAAAGATGAGATTCCCCCAATGCAAAGATTCTCAATCTTGGCAACTATAAGATGTTTGGATTTAATTCTCAGATTTTCCATAACTACCTGGGGAATTCTGGAAGTAGAAGTCCATACATCTTATATTGCAAAGGATGAGAAATATTGCTCTAATGTTACGCTACACTTGAAAACTTTTCTAATTTCAATTGCTTCCAGAGAGCCTGAGAAAGCATATGTGATATTAAATATAAATTATTGCTCTGATTATTTGTATCTGTGATAACAATATTTAAAGAGTGTTATCTGCAAAAGAGCATTTGAGCTCTTCCCCCCCAAATAAGATAGTGATGAAGTATCTAAGAAATAATTTAATTTTACATTGCATGTGTGTGATGGTGATGGTTGATAAAAAATTTATAGGAGTTTGAAATGATGCAGTGAGGCCACAAAATTGAAATGTTCATAATTGCTGAATGAACAGAAAATAGCAATGTGATTTTTACAAATTGAAGGCTTTTATAGTGGCTCTGGTTGAATTATTGTTCTAGGTAGTTTCTAATTATAAATTGCTGCTGTTAGGGTCACTGCACAGATTTTAGATACCTTTAGATCCTCCTTGATATATCCTTAATATGCAGATATCAGACATGCATCTTACTGACTTTTCCTGATAAAAGTTATTGTGTATTACAATTTTCTATCTGATCATTTTCTGATATAAAATTTTTAGCATTGGTATATTACCAAAAATATTTTCTGTCAGGAAATAATAATTAAAAGTAAATTTAAATATATAAAATATATAAAGAACAAAAGGGTTTATGGCATTTTAGTATCTAGCATTCTCCTGCATTGTTGACTTTTAAAAATATTATTTTCAATTATTGTATTTTTTTTGTTTTACAACTATTGAAATAAATGAAAGATGTGTCATAATGATGATTTTCAGAATTGTGCGTAGTTTCTCCTCCCCCCCTCCATTTCTGGTTTATATATTGGCATTCAGTGATGAAGCTGTGAGGCTTTAGTACTTCTTTGGGTCATTTGAGGATATAAATACAAGAACTACTGATGATTTTTCAGTGATGACTACTGCTTAGTAATCTCTACGACAGAGCAGTTGGAGAGAACAGACACGCCACTCGAGTAGATTCAGCACAGACTAGAAAATGATGACACCTTTCTGCTATTTGGTCTGCTGCAGAATGTAGTTTGTAGCATTGTACTTGTACCAGAGGAACAAACAATAAAGTAAAAAAATTCAGCCAGTGCAGAACTGTTGCTTTTAAAATATAAGGTTTCAATTTGATTAAAATGATCCAGAACTGTAATGATGATAGCTGACATTCAAATGCTGGACAAACAATTCAGTATAGTATTGTAACAATTATTGCTCTATTTTAAACAAATGCCATGGCAAAACCTTGGTTGTCCACGCACTATGCAAGAATTTGGCCTTGAACTTGTGAATGCACTGTCTAATAAGTATGAAATGTTATATTTTTTCCAAACCATTTGTAGTGTAAGATCAAGTCAGGGTCTCTCATCCCTTTCAGCTGATGGGCAGATTTGGAATTTTGAGTGGATTTCAGGGGTTCTTTTAAAAAATGGACATGACAATCATAAAAAAATCTATGTAACAGAAGGCAAACTAGTAAAGTTGTTTCCTTCTCACTTCTTCTAATCTCTTCTGTTGATAACTACCACCTCAGCTTAATTCTCTTTCTTTTCAGACCAATGGCATACTTCAGCTAAAACATTACATTTTTATTTTCCAAGAATAAAATAGACCTCTCTGGGACCCAAAGATATTGCTGCAAATACAGATTGTATTTGAGATTGATGTTTTGCTTCCTATTTATTTACTTTTAAATAAAAAATGTAGAAAATTGGTGGAACAGGTACCCTGGCAGATGCCAAGAAAGGTATACCTAAGCCTATGGGCTCCCATAAGGGTCACAAAGAGAACCTATGATTTATGTGTAGGCATCCTAGAACAGTGAAGCAGTTGTGTTTATAAAAATGTATCCTGAATTACATAAATCAAAATCTACATTAACAGTAATATGGCTCCAGTCTAGTCTCTCTTTGCTTTGTGTCTCTCTCCTTGGTCTCTCTGTCAACGTACACCTGATTGTTGTTAATATTAATGCATTCATCTCTACATAATTTTTTACTTCCATATTCTGATTTGTCTCCCCCTCCCCATCGATAATTATATCTCTACAAATAATTTATAATCTAAAATCAAGATTTTTTTTCTCTTCTAGTTCCACAAGTCCAAAATGTACAGCATGTCAAGACACAATAGTGAAGGATAAGGTATAATTTTCCCCCCATAATCTTGCAATTTTGCGTTGTTGCTGTTATCATTACTAGCATAACAATGTTTTGCTTTGGATATACTTTGAAAATCCATTTAACTATATAGCTCAAATTAGAAAAGGTTTTGTGCTATGTAAATGAATCTCTGCATTTCTTACTATAGAATTTTTATTAATGCAGTTCTTGAATGAAAGATCTTGTTGAATTCTTTTGGTTTTTCCCCCTATAGCTTTTCCTAAAGTTTCACTCATTCAATGGGCTGGAAATAGCACATGCCATTTTATTTTTACAGTGGTTTATAGAAATGAATAATAACAAGGTGGACTATAGACTTATTTTTGAACAAATACAGGCAGTCTTCGACTTATGATCATAATTGAGTCTGCAATTTTGGTAGTTAAGTTGTGATGTACATAAAGAGGGTCTCCTTGTAACCTTACCCAGTTTTACAACCTTTTCTGTGGTGGGCATTAAGCAAACCCCATTGTTCACTATGAGGCATTTTTTTTTCCAGAAATTCAAAGTAAATGCTGGTTTCCAGGGGGGAAAAACTTAATAATTCATGGTCATGTGACCATGAAATGCTGCAAATGGCCATAAATGCTGGCTGGTTGCTGGGTTCCAAAAATGCAGTCACATGACTATAGGGGAGCCCCAGAAGTTGGAACTGCAAATCCAATCATAAGTTCCTTTTTTGAGGTCTTTTGTAACATTGAATGGCGCTCAATTGTCTACATCTGCAATACAAACGTTTTCTCTGACAATGTCCATGAGGAGAAGTTCATATATACACGCACATGCAGGTAGCCAAAGATAAATGTCGAATCCCCAGAGACAGAAGGGGAAAAAAACATTTAACGCTAGGGCTACCAGAAATAGATATATGTTTGCCTGCTCTTCCATAAGGAAGCTGCTTTGTATCATGTGAATATAAATGGCATGTACACATGAATGGGAAAATACTGAAGAACTTAAATGAGGAAGCATATAAAGTCCAGTATCCTTGCCCAGTTTGGTGCCTTTAGTCGTACTGCATATATAGCCCGAAGAAACTGCTGTCTTGGGAATCCTGACAGTTGCGCATGTACTACATTTGGAGGATAATAGATTGGGGCGGCTATAGTTCAGTTTGCTCTTTGCAATATTAGCCAAACAAATACTATCAGAAAACTCACTGACAGACTCAAAAGTATTATACATTTCCTGTAATATCCTCTAGCTGATATTCAGAAGGTGACTGGAGGGTCCACTGAATAGACATGACCAATTGCATTTTGCACTGCTAGAAAGTGTGTACTCTTTTTCATTTTAAAGAAGAGTTAAAATCAAATTCTGGCAACTGAAAGTATATATCATTTAGCCCACAGGTCGGCAACCTGCGGCTCTTTGAGCCTTCCCCTGTGGCTCCCAGCCACCTCTGCCATTTGCAGACAGAGACAGAGACAGAGAGAGGCACTTGCGCTTCCCTGCTTCTCTCTCTGTCTCTCTCTATGTTTGTGTTTTTGATTGTGTGTGTGTGTGTGTGTGTGTGTAAAAGAGAGTAGACTCACGGTGTTCTCTGAGGAGCTGAAAAGCTTTTTGGCAGGACTTCTCCCTTTGCTGCGTCTCTGCAGGAAGCAGGAAGGGCAGGAGAGAACTAGCTAGCCCAGCTCTGCTGGCTCAGGAATTCTGGGAGTTGAAGTCCATGAGTCATAAAAGAGCTGAGGCTGCCTACCTCTGAGCTTGTTGGAGAACAGCTTGAAGCCAGCTTGCCAGGTGAGCAGAAAATCGGAGAGGGGGGGGACAGAGGGGGGGGGGAGAGAAAGAGAGAGACAGATATATATAGAGAGACCCTTTTGACATCTAAAATGAAGATAACACTGCATATATCCTTTTTTACCTTTATGAGATACACACACACACACATATATATTAAAGGTAAAAAAGGATATATGCAGTGTTATCTTCATTTTAGATATCAAAAGGGTTTTGCGACTCCCAATGTTTTGTTTTCGGTGGGAAACGGGTCCAAGTGGTTCTTTGAGTGTTTTGGGTTCCCTACCCCTGATTTAGCCCATGTTTCTTTGCTGAAAAATCAAATCCAAATGTTAATGTTCTACTACTGTATAACAAAATATTTGAGTGCTTTAGAAATTAGATACTACTTCAGTGCCTGAACTGCTCTTCTATGATATTCTGATTTTACCTGCTTGATCTCTTCCTTTATATACTTTTTTTAGCTGAACCTCAAATTGAGCTGGCCGTGTAGCATTCATCATATAGAAAATTGTTTAGTGCTGAGGTCCCCTACCTTTTGGGCACCAGGGACCAGTTCCATGGAGAAAGGCTTTTCCACAGACCAGAGAGTGCGTGGTTTTGTGTGCTGGCTGCATCCCACAGATGGGGCTTTGCTTATTTGTGCGGACCGGTTGCTGGCATCCCGCAGCCCACTACTGGTCCACGGACTGGGGGCTGGGGACCTCTGGTTTAGTGCAAAGTCTTGTTATCTTGCTTATTTCTCTGCTCCTTAGTCATTTGTGACAGATCTTTATTACTCTTTATAGCTGTTTTTATTGCCTCATAGAATCTACTTTAAAAACAATAAGCATTGACATACGGTCTGCTTTTGTATAGATAGTCTAAACTCACCTTATATGTTTTGTGTCCATATGTGTTCCAATCAGTTGAGAGTAGACAGTCCTGGGAAATATAATTTGCCTCAGCTGTATACTTTGCAGCAATGAACCGAGAGAATTGTTGGAACCATTCAAAATCAATCTACAGCTATATATATAGAATTATGGTCTACCAGTTAATCCTAGAGTTGAAAGATGTATTGTCACCCAACTCCTTGATGGGTAACAAGCAGGTAGGAGAGAAGAGGTGGTATTTCCAATTTCTATTGAATTATGGTTCAATATGGTTGATATTAATAAAAGTTGGAAGTACACAGGTAGCCCTAAAGGTTACTGAAGATTTCCTTGGACTGCATTTTTATTTTGTTTAAAGACAAATCTGTACCAATCAATCTTAAATGTAATGTGAAAAAATGTAATTGCAGTTTTTATGGCTAAAATTGGGTATTTTTTCATTTTCTCACTTTTTGGACTGGGTCAAAAATTGTGTTGCAACTGCCAAAAAAGCCAACACAGTGCTAGGCTACATTAATAGAGGGATAGAATCAAGATCACGTGAAGTGTTAATACCACTTTACAATGCCTTGGTAAGGCCACACTTGGAATACTGCATGCAGTTTTGGTCACCGCGATGTAAAAAAGATGTTGAGACTCTAGAAAGAATACAGACAAGATTAGGAGACTGGAGGCTAAAACATATAAGGAAGTTGCTGGAATTGGGTATGTCTAGTTTAATGAAGAGAAGGACGAGGGGTGACATGATAGCAGTGTTCCGATATCTCAGGGGCTGCCACAAAGAAGAGAGAGTCAAGCTATTCTCCAAAGCACCTGAAGGCAGGATAAGAAGCAACGGATGGAAACTAATCAAAGAGAGAAGCACCTTAGAACTAAGGAGAAATTGCCTGACAGTTAGAACAATTAACCAGTGGAACAACCTGCCTCCAGAATCTATGAATGCTCCAACACTGGAAGTTTTTAAGAAGAGACTGGACAGCCATTTGTCTGAAATGGTATAGTGTTTCATGCCTAAGCAGGGGGTTGGACTAGATGACCTCCAAGGACCCTTCCAACTTTATTATTATTATAGCTCAACATTTTTTATTTAACTTATTTATTTACCATATTTAGGAACTGCCCATCGTCTTCCTTTTACTATAAAATGAAGAACTGTTCTTATGTATAATTTTCATGTACTTTAAGATACTGCCAATTAAAAAAAATTGATCAGGGCAACTACTGTGTACTCTCTAGTACAATGTAGTTTATACGAGGCTTTTTTTCAAACTAATTCAGAGTTTACACGAATACATCTTGCTGTGCAAAGAAAAGTGAAGATGTTCTTGTATTGTCCATTTGTAGCAGTTACTGTCAAAATTTCTTATTAATAAAAAAGTTCTGAAATAGTTTCTCAGATTTCATGTGAATGTATGTTTATTTATTTTAATTCTATAAGAGAAGTTTATTGAGCCATTTATCAGAGTGTAGTTATTTGCATCAAGCTGGTTAGTGTCAAAATGATAAACTTTTAGATCATCATTGCAATTAAAATTCTATTAAATGTCTGTTAATTCTAGATATTTAAAGATAATTGCTGTCGAAGGGAGCTTCTAGCACTTCAGATATTCTGCAGAAATGAAAATAAAGGTTGTCGAGATCAACTGACCTTGGGACAGTTGCTGGTAAGTAGTTGAAAACCTTCCAATATGTTTTTGTCTCTTCCTCTCCTTTCATCACTGAATGGTGGATTATATGATTTGTGGTGTTAACTGAACCTAAGTTACACATTGTTTTGACAAAAAACCCACATCAAAGTTGTAATGTATGAAGTAGGCTAAGTCTCTAGACCAGGGGTGTCAAACTGCCGGCCCGCGGGTCAGATGCGTCATCCAGAAGCTGCGCCCACCCCATTGCCGGCAATGGCAAAACCGTTCTGATATGTTGCACGATGTCAAATGATGTCGCGAGTTTGACATGTCTGCATTTGAAGATTACTATGAAGATGAGAAATACAGAGTCAGATTTTGCATTTCTCCAAATGTTGTTCCAACAGCTCAGTCAAAAACATTTAGATATTCGTGTTTTCAAATAAAGTGGTTTTGAAGTACATGAATGTAATGCACATGTTTTTGTTGAGGGGTTTTTTTTTTGTTCAGATAGTACAACAATAGATAGAATAGACTTAGTGAATATGTGCAAATTCTGACCTCTCTGTTTAAATCCACCAAGCCAAAGAAAACTGAAACTATGAGTAGCAGGTAGTATTTATAAAATGTTATCTGATTTAACTACATGATCACATATTAAAAAATAATAGACTGGCAACTAAAAATATAAAAACATAGAAAAATTTACTATTGGATACTAAATTCTTAAGTACTCCAACCCAATAAACTTTGGTAGGTACCTCTGTCAGTATTTTGAAGTTAATACAATAGTCCTCAACTTACAACCACAATTGAGCCCATTTCTGTTGCTAAGCGAGACACTTTTTAAGAGAATGTTACCCCATTTTACAATCTTTCTTGCCACATATAAGTGAATCACTGCAGTTGTTAGTAATATGGTTGTTAAGTGAATCTGGCTTCCCCATTGACTTTGCTTGTCTGAAGGTCACAAAAGATGATCACATGATCATGGAACACTGCAACGTCATAAATATGAATCAGTTGCCAAGTGACTGAATTTTGATCACATGACTTTGGGGATGCTGCAACAGTTGTAAGGGTTAGTCACTTTTTCGGTGCTGTTGTAACTTGGGTCACTAAATGAACTGTTGTAAGTCAAGGATTACCTGTATCATATTTTACCATTACTGCTGCAAGAAGTCAAATGTTTCCAACTTCTAGGTGGCAAATTTATTGGCAACCAGGTTTTTGTGTTTTTTCTCAGCTATTAATATAATATTAACTTATACTTTATGCCAAAGAAAAAACAAGGGGGAAAAATACTTTGAATTTCTTGCGATCACTAAATAAACTTAACAAGATTCATTATCTTTAAATTGATAAATCAACTAAATCTATTACCTTTAGTATATTGGTGACCTGGTGCTTGTTGGTTTCAGACACATCTAAGAAATGACTGTCTCTTTGAAGAACTTCCATGTCCTCGTACTGATTGTAAAGAAAAAATACTGAGAAAAGATTTACCAGATCATATAGAAAAAAACTGTAACTATCGGGAAACAACATGTAAATACTGTAAAAGCCAAGTACCAATCATTATGATACAAGTAAGTATGTCTTCTTAGAAAGCAAAACAACTTTTCAGGAAAGTATCTATGGTGAACAAAGTCTTTTGAAGAATCTGGGAGCCTTTAAGACAGACAGCTTAATATAATAACAATGCACCCTTTTCTCCATTGTTTCTCATTCATTACAATTAGCAGTCTAGTAAATAGGATTGAATGGAGAAAGTCCAAAAGGCTGAAGTCTCTTAAGGTCACTTTTATTGCCTTGATTGAAAAGTGGAGGAATATTTTTATATGATTATTTCAAATAGATAGCCATGATTTGGATAGCAATCTCTCCAAGTATAGGGTCCAGAGGCTGTAACTTGAAAGTCTTCTAAATAGTTTACAAACTGGGAAGCATATGCCCTAAGAAATGATGCTGCAACATATGAGCTTCATTTGGAGCATTTGGAAATTCAGATTTCTTAAATCTTTCATTCTGTTGGATCTAATAAGGAGTGCTCAGTGGCTATATTTGGGGAAAATAACAGAAAGTTATACCATTTTTTCCCAAATCATTTTACGTGGGTGAGAGGGAGTTCTCAGACAATAGAGGAAACCAACTGATTTTTTTCTTACAGTAACAAATTCCAAGGCTTCAAAATGAAGAGGGAGGAAGGAAGCTGTACAGGACTGGGGGATGGAATGAAAGTTATACAAATAAGCTTTTATATTTTTCTGCTTTTGATAATTCAGACATTTCTAACTTCTACATGTTCTGCAAAGTAAGAAATCCCAGTTATATTGAAGATTTTCAATTCAATGAATAATAACTCTTCTAGAGACTAGTATCTTTGGCACTGATTTTTTAAAATTAATTTAAAATAACATACAATTGTATGTTGGGAAGGGCAACTCTTATCAACACCTGATTGCATCTGCTAGTTGTGACTTTGATTACCATAGCAGCAGTATTAAAACTTTGTTTCTTTGCAGATCTTTGCAAATCTTCTTTGCAGATTTTGGTGTTTTGGTGGGACAAATACATGCCTGTAGCCTTCAAAAGTCTAAATTTTATATTAAATTCTCAAATATGAAAAATCAGCCTAGTTGTGTTTTACTTCAAGCTTGGAAACAAAACCCTGCTTGAAACATTCTGTTCTGCCTACATCCTATTGAAAAAAAGCTTAGAGCCAAATATGGAGTGTTTCAAGCTCCAAATGAACCAATAGGAAATAGCCTTGTTATTTTCTTTTTATCACAATGCTGCAGAAATAAATAGGATGGCAAAGTTGCAGAAAAATCCAATGTTTTAAAACTCTCTGCTATAGAATGAATCGAATCATTTCTAGGGTTTTCCATAGAGACTCATTCAATCTTCGGTTAGTTGAGGAACCTCACAGAGGTCCATCATCAGCATAAAAAGATCAATATTCTGCATTCATTTCATTATGCAGTTGATGGGCATATTAACAGTAGCAGTGACCAAGACCCTGTAAAATCTAGAGAAACATGGCTGGTCAGATAGTTGTTAGGAATAGATTACTTGAATGAATTATTATTGAGTACCCGCTTCATTTTTGTTCTATAAAAATTTAACATCACTGTGCTGCAATCAAGTGTTGTGTTTACAATATATAGATGTGCACATACACATTAAAAAGTGATATGTATGTATATCATACATCATCACATGTGTGTACGCACACACACACACCCTTGCTGCACAGCTAACAAGAAAAATGCATTATTAAAAAATTATGTCAGCATAAGATCATTCGTGCACATTTACTTCCAAATAATAGAACTCAAGATAATGTACATTTTGTTCAAACTTGGAACACTTGAAATGGGAGGTTGGAGGAAGAAACATTTTGTGCATCTCTAAGAGGCAGCTATTTCAGTCATAAAAATAAATTATATTGACAGGTTATAAATTCATGTTATTTGTTTTAAGAAATAACTTCTTCGCCATTTTATTTTTTTTGTCCAGTACAAGTGATTATTAATGTATAAGTACATGACATGATTTTTCCTATTGTTTTCTTAGAAACATGAAGATGCAGACTGTCCTTGTGTTATGGTTACATGTCCTCATCAGTGCAGCGTTTCAGCACTCCTCAGAAAAGAGGTAAAAAATCATATTGCAGAGCTGTTTATAAAATCAGATAACATGCTGTATTATATTAGTTGCTGCATAATGTTTTTGTTAAAATAGCATGTAAGAAATTTGCCAGAAGTAGCTCCAATACATTTGAAAAACAAGGGAAACAGTCTTTCTGTTTACCTTTAACTTTAAAGGTATTTCTAAACTCCCAGAATATAGTGCTGCAGTTTTCTTAAATAAATAAGTAAACAAAAATCTGCAATGCTTGCAGCAATTTTTTCCCTTTACCCTTATTACTGTATTTTCCCGAAAATAAGACCCAGTCTTATATTTTTTTGCCTCCAAAAGAGGCACTGGGTCTTATTTTCGGGGGATGTCTTACCCACTTATCTCAGGACCACCACAGACAGGCCTCCCACACCCCGAACCTGTCGCGCCGCCATCTGACTTCTGCGGTTGCTCACAGCAGGCTGCACTGGTGCCACTTGCGGCAGGAGGTCATGTGGCGCATCACACAGATATCACCGCTTGCGGCAGGAGGCTACCTAGTCCCTGGTGCCAGTGCCGCTGCTCATGGCAGGACACCGTGTAGCACATTATGCTTGTGTCGCCGCTCATAGCGCAATGCATCACATGGCAGCCTGCTGCGAGCAGTGGTACCGGCGCAACGTGCTATGTGGCCTCCTGCCACAAGTGGCTGCAAATAGCAGCAGAAGTAAGGCAGCAGTGCGACAGGTGTCAGGGTGTGGGAGGCTTGGCTGTAGTGGTCCTGAGATAAGCGGGTGTGGGGTGCATGGGGCAGTTCAACCTCCCCACTCCTGCCCAAGCTTGATTTTTACATGTGCACCTCGCCCCATCTCGTACAACCAGACAAGGGGACGGAGTGGGCAGGGTCTTAACTAGGCTTATTTTGGGGTTAGGGCTTATATTAGGCACACACATAAAAATCAAGCTATGTCTTATTTTGAAGAAAACACGGTATATGCTGCATTAAAACTATTAATTATCGCAGGTATAAGAAATACCTGTTTGTTCTTTCTAATGAATAGGTAGTATAAGAGATTTTAGGAATTGTGTAATTGCTTGGTAAGTTTAGAGCCATTAGACTGTTAAGCTGACATGAACAACTCAGTTCATAATCTGTGGTCTTTTCCTTATAACTTACATTAATCAATCAATCATGAGGGCACAATATTTCTAAGAAAGTAACATACAAACCTGTATTTATTTCTTCCAATAGTCTCTTTGATTTAAGAAGCTATTTGTACTGGAAGCTAAAGTAATATACATGTAATATAATGTAATATCTAGACCAAATACCTACATCCTGCAATAAACAGAACTCAGTCATACAGGATAAAAATTCTGTCTGAAATGAAATTAAAATTACCTTTAGAGATGGAGGGTTTTTTGCTTGTTTGTTTGTTTTGGTCTGTCTGAGCAAAAATCAGTGCAGGAGATATATTAATCATTCCTTGGCAATACTTCTCCAGTCCTTTTTAGTCATTTTATTCCCAAATTTCTTTCCCAAATGAACTCCAAAACTGTCCTGGGTTTAAAAAAAGTGCTAGAGGAGAAATTTGGGTAGATGATTTAGCATTCCATATACTGCCAAGCAATTTTTCTTTGCAGTTCAAATGAATGGTGATGTCTTGCATTACTGATTGAAGTAATGTGATGCCTCACCTTCAGTGTGTATAACTATAATCATATTCATTGATGCTAATTGATGGTATGATGAGTTTATTGATATTTATTGGTCTGAGATTAATATGGATGTGTTCTTTTGATAGAACATTTATTAGAGGTCTACCGACCCAATGGAAACAGGTTTGAAGCAGGGAGAGAACTATTCAGAAGATGTATTTGAACTATGTGTAGAATACACATCCCACAATTCTTAGTATTTACACTAAAGTTAATAAGATTTGATGGTTTCAGTACTGACTAGGAAATAGATTTTTGTCAGAAATAGACTTATGGACTTCAACTCCCAAAATTGCTCAGCCAGCTAAGGTTGGAAACCCCTATAAACATTTGATCAGGTTTTGTAATGAGCAAGTAATGTCTAGATTATTTAATAAATTCAGTAAAATCATTACAGTTGAATAAAGCTTATGAACCAATATCATAGCTGAGGTTATACTTTTGTGGTAGAACTTTATTGAGTTTAAATTATAAAGAAAGTTTATCTAAAATTTTCTGAAATAGCAGAATAGCTAATTTATATGGCTCTATCTTATTGCTTAAGTCACCTGATTTGCCAACAGTTGAAATAGTAATCTCTTCCACTGTTTTGAAAATCTCCCACTAATATGAAAACTCCAGCCAAAAATAAGTGTAGTACAGGGGGTATGGTTGCATAAAAAATGGGGATGGCTTTCGTTCTATGAAATTGTCCAAGCAAAATTGTGAGATCTGGAAGGAAAAATAATTCCTAGATTTTTGTTCAGGAAAATGAATTTGTGCCATTCTCTTTATACTTAGATTTTTCTCTAGGATGATATTATTCAATTTTAAAGAATTACTTCTTAAGAAGTATGGATTGGCTGTTGTTCTTTATTTAAAAATTAGGAAGTTGCGTTTCTTGGATTTTCCCCCCGCTCAATTTCTATAGTATCTTAAAAAAAATTCTTAATCTTTACAAAAATAGATATCCTATGTTACCTGCATTTATTCTTACTCTGATGCTATATAGTGAATCTAAAACTTTTTTTTCTTGTGCATGTATTATATGCCATAAACAGGAAGCTGAGCTGTGGAGATTTTATGGACTCCATTATTCTGAGTCATATCACCACTAGTTGCAAGCAGAGGGTTGAGGAACAAGGAATGTTTGAGATCACTGACATTGTATAAGGCAGCCAAGATTTCAGTGTAGTCAGTATTCAGTGATGCTTTAGAGCACGGGTATCAAACTCACTGCGTCACGTGATGTGTCACGACATATCGTGCCTTTTTTCGCATTTCCAGAGCTGGGGTGGACGCGGCCTCCATATGATGCAACCGTTTGACACCCTTGCTTTAGAGGATCCAAAAGTTCTTTGTGGAATAATAAAAACCATTACTTTATTTAGTATTTGAATTTTTCCTATCTTATATCTACTGCTCTTAGCTATTAGGATAATTAATATATATATAGTGTAAAACAACATGTAGTTATTTAAAGCAACTTTTATTTCTATGTGCTGTTTTAGTAAATATAAATTTTAATTTACAAATGTATATGTTTGTTTCATGCAATATTTGTTTAAAGTCTCTGTCAAAATGTTCTATTTTCTTATCACTGGAATTTTGCATGAAAATTTGTTTTGAATTAAAAATTTGGGAGGCGGTCTGATGGGGAAGGATGTGCATTAATACAGTGAAACCTTTATCCGGAACGATTGGCCCACAAGGTTATTTAATGTGCCTCTTGAAAAAATGGCTTTTTGATAAAAACACACTGAAATCCTTTTGAAATTAGCTGAAATGATTATTTGATTAGGTTTCACTGTAAATGTGTCAATTTGTATATTCTACTGGAATGTTCCTGTGATTACATGTGTATGTGTATACTTTCAAGTACAACTGGAGGTAATATGAACACATGGTTTTAAAAAAAACTAAAACAAATTAACCACAATGCAAATTTATATTGCATCCCCTATATATTTTTAATCTTATTATGCATACATTTTCCATCCCCCCAAAAAAACTCACATTTTTTTCCTATTACAGTTGAATGCACATTTGTCAGAATGTATTAATGCCCCAAGTACCTGTAGTTTTAAGCGTTATGGCTGCACTTTTCAGGTCAGTATATAATGATTTATATACTTGATGAAAGTCTGCAATAAGAAAATATTATTAATAACTCTCTGGACTGGACTTGATGTCTCTTGTTATCCATGAAGAGAGAATGCATCCAGTTGCTTGAGTGATTAAAAGCTTCATATTGGATTTATAGTAATGCCCTTTTTCTTTTCTTTTTTCATACTTTAGAAATTTGAATGGTTTAAAGAGTTTTGAATATCAAATTTAGAATATGCAAGACACATTTTTTTAATTCAAGAAAGCAGACTGTAATTATTTCAGCTGTTTCAGCAATACATTTTTTTTCTTTAGAAAAGAAACATTTCAATTCTTCCTGTTTGAGTGGAATTAAATCCATAACAGGCTAAAAACTTCTATAACTTCCGATGTTGTGAATTTCACTTAGATATGTATTCCATATAGATTCAGAGTTTAGTGGATTGTGTTCAAGAAAACTAAACATATTAGCCTAGTACAAATCTGGTAACAATAATATTGTAAGTGTGAACAGACTTCTTGTCTAACTTTTAACAATAAAAATTAAATCGGCAAAAACAAATTAGTATAGTAGAAGATGGGTTATTTTTATGTATGTATTTTAAATTTGTGCAGTACATGTTTTTCTGTAAATTGCTTATTTGATATCAGTGTTAAATTCCAACAAGAGAGTTATATTAAAAAGGATGGGGTAAAGAGTAGTTCACTGAAATAAAATCCTTGCATGTCTTCTTTTATTTTTAATCTACCTTGCAGGCTTGTGACTTGTGGTTTAACTTTATTTATTTGAATATTAACTGCCACTTTTAAAATCTAATGTTGAATCCACAAAATCCTTTGTCCCCCGTAGTTTAACACTTTTCAACATTTTGGGAAGGAAGGGTAGTGTAATCCTTATAGAGCTATCATTCTCACTGTTTAAAGTTGGACTATATTTCCATGTAGCGATGCTATAAGATCAGTAAGAAGTAACAAGAGAAATAAACTATTTTCTTCTAAAAGACTCTAGACACCAAATGGCACTGAGTGATAAAATCAAAACATTAAGTGGTTTGCATATAACACAATTGCTCTAAGAAGAAATAATCTGTCATGTAAGCATTGCTTCCTGTTCCTTCTTTATTTTTATGTTGTGTGTTTAAATATATATGTGTTTACATATAGTTTGAATATATTAAACACAATGTACATAGTGACATTTATAAGGATACATTTGCAACATTCTACATAATAATTCTTTATCAAAATGACATATATACTAAAAGTATGACAGAAAGGGATGGCAAATACAGTCTTCCTTAAGTACTCTATACTATAATTTCTTATTTAATTATATAAGATGCTGAGCTATATTGTGTCTAACAGCAGTGAAGTGTTCTGTACATTCTTTAGAGTAGGGAATTTTATTTTGTTAAAGCAGGCAGTGCTACTATTTCTGGGGGTATTTGAATTGGGTCTGACTGTTTTCATTTCAGTCTATTCAGTCTCTGTATAAAAGCATTTTGATAACCTAAAAATTTTAATCCAGTCTACCAGTCTGTGGAACTTTAATATAACTAAGAAAATGACTGCTACAACTATTGCCCTTAAAACCACACTGTTAATAATGTCTATCTGCCTGTCATTTCTGTTATTCAGTCATGGAAAGAAGGTAATTGAGTTAAAACACAATTTTTATGACTTCATGGACATATCCGTGTAGTTTTCGTAACAACAGTAGTGATATAATTTGTCACTGCCTTCTTGTAAGATAGTCTCAGATCTGCTGGTGATCTGTGGCAGCACAGCTGACCTTCACCAATCTCAAAAACTGACTATACTTTAGTTTTTGAGATTGGTGAAAGTCAGCTGTGCTGCCACCGAATTTTAAAATCATACAAACATCTCAGAGCCAGTAGTCTTGTCATCTCATCACTACATAACCAACTAGATTTTTCTAGGAAAAAATCATATTTTCCTTTTCTTCCACAGAAGGTGGTATATAATTGTCATTGATGATTTATTAACTATGAATTTGTCTAGACTCCCTTTATGTTGATGTCTGTCATATCACATAACAGTGGCTTTGTAAAACATTTTTTGTTTGTCTGCCTGAATCTCTTGTAAATTATCTTAAATGGATAACTCCAGTTTTACTGGGATGAAACCCTACCCATTTCCATATAACCATGTATAAAGATGGAAGATTGCCCAGTAACCATTATTTGGTTTTAGTATAGGATGCTTCCCTAGGGAAGTTTACTGCAAGAATAAGGGAACTTAACATTTGCATAGTAAAACAATCAAAGGAAGAGATGGTTTAACTGAGAATGACTGGATGGTCATAATTCTTTAAAAAAATATTGGCAACACTATAGGAAGTCAGGGTTTTTGCCACTTTTTGAGATAATTATTTGCTATAGAGCAGCATTTGTGGAACATTTTACTGTTAAAAAATTTACTACGTAACCTTCAGTTGAAGATTCTGAAATGTGATTTGAAATAATGATAACGTAGTTGTTATGTTTTTAAAATTTCAAGACGAATTTTTGGTACATCACTAATTATTACAAAGTTGAATCTGCGTTTTTATCTGTACTCCAGTAAATAGGTCTCCAGTAATATGTTTGAAAATGCATCAGTAGGTTAATATATAATATTGTTCAATTGTAGATGGGCCAATGCTATACTTTAGTGTAGGTTTGCTAAGAAATGAAGCTGGCTAAAATATATTCTTTGTCACAGGGAACAAACCAGCAAGTTAAAGCACATGAAGCCACCTCAGCAGTGCAGCATGTAGACTTATTGAAAGAGTGGAGTAATTGTCTAGAAAATAAGGTACATCTCCTGCTCACATTATCTTTCCTATTTAATATATTTTACTAATGGAGCACAGGTAAAATTCTGGAATTTGGAGTGGTTATCTAAGTACTCTTCAGTTTCAAAGGCAATGAAATGACTTTAAGAGCAAATCCAAACTAAACGGCCTCATAGTTAAAAATAAACATTGAAATAGTTTTTTCATGAATCAATGGCATATTCATTTTGTGCTTTTAGCTGGATGCTTCTCATAAAATATTTCCCATTGGGTTCATCTCATAAAGAAAAGAGTTGGGGACTTTTAATAATAGAGCTGAAGACTTTTATCATTTACAACTGATTAACAATCTCTAACAGAGGCTATGCCAGAAAATTTCTGGTTTTTTAAATTGCTCATAGAATCATGATGCATTATTCACAGAATTAATTTCTGCTATATTTTATTGCAAAGTTAAGGTTTATTCTACTTGATGGATCATGAAATTGTATACTTAAACTTATCTATAATAGTTTCACTCCAGTCCTTTTTCTTCTTGTTCTTTCTCCTTTGCTCCCCCCAAACAGAATTATAATATAGTACGCTCCAGGATACACATTTTTAACATTACACTATATACATTATACACTATATACAATATGCATTATCAGTATTCCTATGTTATATAACAAATGAAATAAACCCACCAATCGTGATGTTAGCGTTCTTGCATCCTAATAACAGAAGTCAGTATTTGCTATTTAAATTGTAGTATTCAAGATGTTAGCTAAATCAATTTAATGTTTATTTGTGCACTTCCCAAAATCACTAGTGCCCATGCAGATGTCTGAAACATTTGAGTGTGTTCTCACAATGCCTTAAGCATTTCAGAGAGAAGGAATGAGCATCACTGCAAATACTGGAATTATTTTCTTTTCTACTCTGTCCCTATCCCCAACTAATGAGAAATGCCAGAGAACATTCATGTTTTTAGAGAGTTGTGCTTCTGTTGTGCTATCTCTGATTAAATGGTTTGTCTTTGTTCCAAGAAAAACAGACAAAATGGAGTGATGGCATAAGAGATCTTCACTGTATGCAAAATTAACAATCCTACCTCACCAAAGTACAGTTGTTCTAGTGTTCTATAAACCTAGAATATCTCAATAAGATAATAGGAAATATATAAAAACATTGTTTTTTTGTCCAGGATGGCTCAAAGGTAGAAGTGACATCTAACACAACTGTTCAAATAAATGGCATGCATGTGATTTGGAGTTTGTGAGGATGCCCTTGCCATATCCATCTGCAGTAGTTTAAAGCAGATTTATCTTTTCCCAGTAGTGCATAGCTGTTCCTTCACAATCCTGAGAAAAATGTGCTTAGTTTAAGGAGTTGCAGATACATATTCTGAAACATCTTTTGCCTTTGAATCTGACTCAAAAAAACAGCCCTAGGACTTGACACATATAAATTGCAATTAAACAATAGTTTCTTCAGAAACATGGGCTTTGCCATTTTTGTTGGAAAATATTTTCTAGGGGTAGAAACAAGTTACATATTCAATTTTTTTTTCAGAAGTGTGATGCTAGTGCCTTGTTAAAAGAAAATTTGACTGGTTTTCAAGTGTTGATATTGATAATCTGAAGTGAAATTTGAACTTGATTCTCATCTTTAATAAAGCTTTATGTAATATTTATTTCAAAATACCTTTCTTTTGATCTAGTTATGTTGGATTTCAACTTCAAAGTGATTTGTAGGTAGCATGGCCTTTGATGTGAATTGGTCAAAACATCTGGAAAGCACCAGTTTGGGGGGGAAATTGTTATGTGAGAAGCTTGAAACATTCTGTCATATGGGTTGTCTTAATAAATAGACATAATAAGAAAAACGATACAGGTTATTATGTTATGGTATGCACATTTGGGGACCTGTTAGATTCCAAGGGCCAGCTGCCCAAGGCAATATAGTCCAGTAATCAGTAAAAAATATCTAAAGGGTTACAGATTCCAGCACCATGTTACATGCAACAAGTACCAATGCAGAGTCTGAATATATTTATATGCATCCTTTCTAAAATAATCAGGAATGATCTCATCTCTTGCAAATTTTATTGCCTTTGATATTATGTTGTTGCTTTGTCATCTTCAACTAGAATATATGAACAGGTATACTGAGTTAGTCCTTTTGAGAATTCTAGGATAAACACTTATTCATAGAGCTGAGATTAACAGGGGAACTTAAAATGAATATAAAATAGTACTTCTGGAATGATGAATGCTACTTGCGTGATACCACCTTGGCAGGTTACCTGATCTGCCTGAGGCTGGCTCTGAAACTGTAGGAAGTAAGCTAAATATAATTTTTAAAGTTTTGCTATGCTTGGGCATACATCTTCATTGTGTTTCTGTGTTTCTTATAGTTCAACATTCTGCAAATACTGTTCGGGTTCCAGAGCAAGGTGTTGGGAGAGCACCCTCTCTTTTTTTAAACAAAAAAGGGTTAGTTGATCTTACACAGTTTAATTACTGATGGTAGAAAAATGGATGTTTGTCTATCTTGGTGTGTTTTTACTGTTGATAGCCGGTGCCATGTTGGATGGATCATAGAAGTTTATCCTTAGCAGTTTGCAATAAGGTGTGTTTTACATGGACATTTTTTTCTAGCTGCTCTCAGTTTCAAGTATATAGAATGTGCTTTTGGCAAGCGAGGGCTGAATTCCAGGTGCAAGATATTTTTAGGGAAGGAAAAACACTGATGAACCATGTGCAAGTTTTCGTGGGTGACGCATGCAGTGAATAAAATGTATTAGTTAGCAGTCTTTTATGAAACTGTTCAAAAGTCCAGAAAGTTGGCTAAGAATTTTAAGGAAACAGAAGCATGGATTGATTACTTTCAGGGAATATCAACAAAGCCTTTCCTTCTTTCATTTTTTCCTTTGTGTGATTTCATTCATAAAAATATTACAGGGTGAATTTGGCTTTCATCATTTGTAGTTTCACTTAATTACTACAGTCCTGGCCACAGAACAAATCCCCAGTAGGCTTATTTTGTTTATGAGACAAAGCAGGATGACACAATTATCACCATCTTACTTCTTTTGTAATCCATTGACCATGAGAGATAGCTGAAGCTTTTCCACACTTGGAGGAATAATTGTAGATTTTTTTCTTTCAGGTGGCCATGCTCCAGAATGAAAGCTTGGAAAAGAACAAGAGCATACAAACTTTACATAATCAAATTTGTAGTTTTGAAATAGAAATTGAGAGACAGAAGGAAATGCTGCGAAGTAATGAAACCAAAATACATCACTTGCAGGTAAGATTTTGGCTTGTCTTTCATAAAAAAAAAGCAGAAACTGTTTTCATAGTTCCCCTGTAATAAGCCGTTTCTGAATAGCTTTGTTGTTGTTGTTAATTGCGAAGTCGTGTCCGACCCATCGCGACCCCATGGACAATAGCTGGCTCAGGAATTCTGGGAGTTGAAGTCCACGAGTCATAAAAGAGCCAAGGTTGCCTACCCCTGATCTATACCATTAACCCTAAATTTCACTTTTCTGCCTGATATTATGAGCCGAGGTGGCGCAGCAGTTAGAGTGCAGTACTGCAGGCCACTTTAGCTGACTGTGTTCAGCAGGTCAGCGGTTCAAATCTCACCGGCTCAAGGTTGACTCAGCCTTCCATCCTTCCGAGGTAGGTAAAATGAGGGCCCAGATTGTTGGGGGCAATGTAAATATATACATACATTGCTTACTGGTGTACACCGCTTAGAGAGTGCTTGCACTTAAAAGCGGTATATAAGTCTCATAAATAAATAAATAAATATTTGAGCTACACACACAGACACACACACACACTCACTCACTCACTCACTGGCTTGCTTGTACTTCCAAATAAGGCATAATCAAGCCACATAGAAAGCAAAATGTTTTCTCTTGTTCTCCTTCTAGATCAAGATGAAATTATCTGTCCTGGCCAATTTATTTTGCAACTCATGGGTAAATGAAATAAATGAATTGTTTGCTTAAAAATCTTAACCAAATAGAAGAGCAACAAAAATGATCAACTGATAAAAAATTATTCAGAAATCACTTACAATTTTCTTTTTCCTGCTATAACAATATAGATACAGTAGAGAACATTATAGTTGGAGCAAATATTCTAAGTTGGGGTTGAATAGTAATATTTGTCATTTCAAACCCTGTGATTGCAATTGTTTCCAGTTAAAATTTCTGCTTTTTCAAATTATATGGGGCACTGTATTGTATTAGAAAATGCAGTAGAGCTGTGGTGGTGCAGTGGTTAAAGTTCAGTATTGCAGGCTAACTCTACCTACAGCCTGGAGTTCAATTCTGAGGGGGCTCGAGGTTGACTCAGCCTTCCATCCTTCCAAAGTTGGTAAAATGAGGACCTGGATTGTTGGAGACAATACACTGACACTGTAAATCGCTAAGAGACTGCTGTACAGCACTATGGAGTGGTATATAAGTAAAGAGCAAAAGTCCTATTAATGTCCCTTGGCCCACTGAAGATCAGGAATTGGAACTCCTTTAAGGTTGCATGATACTTTTATATTTTGCAGTGATGGAACTGGTGCAGGCGGAGAGAAGCAGGGAACAAATTTTGTGGTGTTTTTCCAACCCAAGATTTTTCTCAATCAATATCTTTTTTTCCCCACATTGCAACTGTAATAGTAGCATTGTGTTATACAACTGTTTCAGTAAACTTCCTTTCTTAGCTAAATGGATGCTAAAGATATTTACTTGTTCAAAATTTATTGAAAAGACTTGCCCAGATTTGTAAATTTCCTTAAATTTTATTTTCACTTAATTGTTTTACATTAATAAGGTTTATTAGATGGGTGAGTAATACCAGAGTATGGCACTAGGCAGTTATTTTTGGTTTATTTGAAATTCTTATATAATTACTATGTAACTTTCTTGTACAGTATTAAGTGTTCCCTGTATGTTATTTTCCTTGAGGTTCTTCTATGTTTATGCAATTTACTTTTTTTGAAGCGGGTAATAGATAGTCAAGCTGAGAAGCTGAAAGAACTAGACAAAGAGATCCGACCTTTCCGACAGAACTGGGAAGAAGCAGACAGCATGAAAAGTAGCGTTGAGTCCCTCCAGAACAGGGTGACTGAACTGGAAAGCATTGATAAAACTACTGGGCAAGGAGCTAGAAACACAGGTAAGTTTGAACATGAGATGGTGAAGTAACGGCAGCTTCTGACAAATTAGACATTCTGAAATGCGGCTTCCTTGTAACTCCTTGCAAGTTATCTATTTGTTTAACCTAATTCTTTGATTAATTTGCATAATGTTTGTTTTAGAGCAGTGGTTCTCAACCTTCTCAATGCCGCGACCCCAACATGTGGTTGTAAGTCGAGGACTACCTGTATTTCCCTGCGGGAGGGGCAGGAGGAGGTGCGCACGCTCCGCCTCTCCTGCGGCTGCACGCGGGCCGTCGCCCAGCAACCGCCTCGGCCCAGGAGCGCCGCGCATGTGTGGTGCTGCCCCCTGCGCTGGCCGAGGTGTAGCTGGCAAGCGACAGCGCAGCCCAAGGGAGGTAAGCCACCCGCCAGGCCCCACACGCGCCAGCAACCCTCCTTGCGCCCACCGTTGCCCCGCTAGCCTTACCTTTGCCACCGCATGTTCGGTGTGGCGGCAGGCAGGCCCAGGCGCTCCTGGGCGGCCATGGCACGTGGCAGCGGGAGCGCAGGGCGACCATCGGCTGGGCCACCAGCTGGCCCAGCCCAAGGGAGGTAAGGCACCCGCCGGGCCCCACACGCGCCAGCAACCCTTCCTGCGCCCGCCGGCCTCCCACCTCCCATCCCTGGCCCTCTTTTACTTACTTTTAGTAGTTGCTCAGCAGGGAAGGAAGCTTTCCAGAAAGTTCGCCTTGCAGCACCGTTTGCAGACTGGGGCTTTTGGTGGGCTCAGCAGGGCAGAGACAACCTGGACAATTCCTATTGGCTTTTGAAAGCCAATAGAATTAGACTTCATGCAAGAGAGTCTATTCTATTGGCTTTCGAACGCCAATAGAATAGAATCTCTTGAATAGAGTCTATTCTATTGGCTTTCAAAAACCAATAGAATAAGAGGGAGTAGTACAGCTAAAGAAAAGGGGGAAAAAATGGCGGACAGCCTTGTTTGGCGACCCGGTGAAATGGTCGTTGGACCCCAAATGGGGTCGCGATCCATAGGTTGAGAATCGCTGCAATAAAGCCACCAATTAGCAATATGACATGTACCTTTCTAAGAGGCTCACACAATACTGTTTAGTCAATTGAAAGACAAATTAGCATATAAAAGGATTGCCATCTGTTAAAGCACCTTGCATTATTCTTCGTTCATTACAGAGCGTTACTATAGTCATTCAGAGCTTAAAAGTTCAGGTAAGATTCTCATTGCTTCTGCTGGTGATTGAAATGTCATAAACTCCCATTCCAAAGAGAGGAAAGTGACTCTTGTAAACATGGAGAATTGATTTACTAAGGAGAATTCTGAGAGAGATTAAAGCCCCAGTATTATTAAAGAGACATTCAACTAGAATAATAGAGCATTTAAACCACAGAAAAATGATTTCAGTTTCTGTGTATGTGTGCAAATACCTGCACACATATCTTCCCCCACATCTTCCACACAAGCTTGCATTTACCCTTTGGAGCATCTTTTATCCAGAGATTAGATATGCCTGTCCTTTGCTGGCCTGAAACAAGACCTTAAAGACATAGTTGTGTCACTTAGCTTGGAGATCCAGATGGGGTCTATGACAATTCCCCATGGACAACTCAACACGGACAACTCACCACGGACAACTCACTACATGACTAATATCAAAGAAATAGTGGAATAGAATCATTAAAGAAAAGATGCAAAAGGAGAAACAGAATAAAATATGAATGACAAAAATTAAAATATTTTTAATTTATTTTAAATAATTAAATAATAATTGAATTGTTAAATTTTCCCCCATGAGTTGTCCTGTGGCAAGTCGGCTGTGGCGAGTTGGTCACAGTGAGCTGTCTGTAGTGAGTTGTCTTGCAGCAGAGTGTGGCAGAGGCTGTGATGTGGTATTAATTATATGGTTGTTTTGGTTTTTTACTTCAGTTGCTGATTACTTATTTATTTAATTCAACTTCTATGGCCATCTCAGTCAATGATTCTGGGCAGCTTACAATTCAATATATACAATTTGTACCTGGTTATATGGTGTTTTTAAATGTTGTTAGCTGCCCAGAATCATTCATTTGCCATGGGTGGCTAAATAAATTGAAATAATAAGTATAAATAAATGAATATTCAATACTTAGTCACACTGCAGGAAAGAAGGCTTTTATTTGTGTAATTTTGCAGATGTGAAATAATTTTTCAGAAAATTATTTCTGAAGACTTGTTTTTATGTGATCAAAGTATCAATTTCACCCTAAGCTTTTTACATTTTTAATACTATGGAAACACCTTTTGCAGGGTGCTTTTCACACTGGGTGCTTTTCACACTGAATTCTCAAGTATTATATACCCACTCATTGTTAAACAACTACCTTGATCAGCTACAAATATGATGGTAATAAAATATTAATTTTGAAACCAATACATTCATTGATGACCAAATTTTGTGTGTCTGACAATGCCCACTGGAGTGATAATTAACACTGGTGTAACTGTACAAGACAACTTTATCTGAATGAGATGGCAGCAACCAGTGATCTTTGCAGCAAGGGTCACATGTTCACTTAGCAATCACATTGCTTAAAGACTTGGTCATTGGAACAAACTAAGTTACTAAACCAGTGTTTCTCAACCTTGACAATTTTAAGGCATGTGGAATTCTGGGAGTTGAAGTCCACATGCCTTAAAATTGTCAAGGTTGAGAAACACTGTACTAAACAGAGTGGGTGTAAATGAAGAAAGAAGTGCAACATAATGGGAAAACTGTCCCTTTGATATTTTTAAAAATTTAAACCTTGTTTTCTTTCTAGGTCTTCTAGAATCACAGTTATCTAGGCATGATCAAATGCTAAGTGTTCATGACATCCGTCTGGCTGATATGGACCTACGATTTCAAGTCCTGGAAACAGCAAGTTACAATGGAGTATTAATCTGGAAAATTCGAGATTATAAACGTCGAAAGCAAGAGGCTGTTATGGGGAAGACTTTGTCCTTATATAGCCAACCATTTTATACAGGATACTTTGGCTATAAGATGTGTGCCAGGGTTTACCTCAATGGAGATGGGATGGGCAAAGGGACGCACTTGTCTTTGTTCTTTGTTATAATGCGGGGAGAATATGATGCATTGCTTCCTTGGCCATTCAAGCAAAAGGTCACTCTTATGTTGATGGATCAAGGACCTTCTCGGCGCCACTTAGGAGATGCGTTCAAGCCAGACCCCAACAGCAGTAGTTTCAAGAAACCCACTGGGGAAATGAATATTGCATCTGGTTGCCCAGTCTTTGTTGCACAAACTGTTCTAGAAAATGGAACATATATTAAAGATGATACTATTTTTATTAAAGTCATAGTGGATACTTCGGATCTACCAGACCCCTGACATATAGCAGAAAGGCAGATTCAACAGAAGACAACTCCATTTGGGGCTCTTTTTTATATCTGTCTTCAATGAGAGGTCCTTAAAGCTCAGAGAGGACCACTTTATGTTAACAGAGGAAGAGTTTGGAGGTATAACTTACATAGGGTCCAATGGCAAACATAGCAACCCATTAAGAAACCATAACTGGTGTATTTTCTAAACTAATAGGAACACTTCAAGTTCTGGCAAGTTACTTAATCCTCATGAAGACAAAGATCTCTGTCAGAAAAGCTTTTTGTAATTTATTGACAATAATTTGGGAGAGGAAAAAAAACAAAGTATCTTATGCTGAATACGACATCAGACTTTACTTTCATTTTAACTAGAAAATAAAAGTTCACATGTGGGTTAGCTAGAAACTGTCAGCATGTTAAGTAAAAAAAGAAGAAATTATGAAGTATTGTTGCAGTTAAAGATATTATTACTTTGAACATCTAAGTGCAATGTTGTCTGAAATACAGTATATTGTCTATTTTTAAGGCCTCATCTGGTCTCTGTTTTAAAAATTACTTTGTCAGAAGACCTTGACAAAAATGTCTAGATCTTCTTGAAAATGTCTAAATCAGAGTCATATTTTTGTTTAGAGTTCTATTAATTGCTACAGAAAACATTTTATTTTAAAACTGTTGATAGACTGATATTTCTTGGAAGAAAAAAAAGATCAAATGCAGGTTATCACTTGTGATATGAAAAGAAACTATTCAATACTGCTGTTATTTCTCTTTAGAAATGTAAACCTACAATATATGTCGTAGTTAATGACACTATTTCAAAATTAAGAAAAAAAATCACTCATGGATGCTGTGCATCATTATCAGATTTATAATTTTCACCCTAAAATAGGGCATTTGTTGAACTTTGGAGTTCTAAATGGAATCCTGTATGTTTTTAAAGTTCTGCCTCATGCGCTCAGACCAAGCTCTATAAAATAGATGTGTGTATATAAACATATTATATTATATTTTTTGCTAAAGCATAAATGTGCAACATATTTTTTGGGTTTGAGAGGAGGCGTAGTACTGAGTAATACCTATATGGGAAACTGCTAATTCATCCTCTAGGTAGTAATTTTTCTATCTTACAGAGGATATCCGTTAGGAAAAAGCAGTGTCTTAATGAAGATATGGTGGCGTGCATGCATTCATGTGCCTTAGCTGTAATGTGCTGCTTTATAGCTCATAGTTTTGTATTCAGACTTTAATTTCCAATCGTTAGAATACTTGTTTTAACTGGACTTTAGGCATAATGTGCTGACTGATCTGTAAAACCCACCAATATTTTGCAGCATACAGAAATGGAAACCCAGATGTGTGTCTGGCTTGCCAGTGTTTCCATCAATGAAATACTACTTATTCAGGTGCTATATTTTTGTTCACAGTGCTCCTATGGAGCTAGGACTTCTGACAGTGCCCCTTCAGTTTCCAAAGCAGTAGTGAAACTACTGCATGATAAAATGCCTCAAAGTAGCAGAGCTAATCATTTCAATTTGGCTCAATTCAGAATTGTGAGAGAATAGATTTGCTTGCCAATTCACAGAGATGGTTTTCTGGCAAACTGACACCTATCCCTGCAGGGAAACCCACAGGAGCCTCCTACAGTATTTAAATAACTACCTGAGCTTTACTAGAAAGCATTCTCCAGCCTTTAAATCATGCTGATTGCAACCCACAGAATTTACTGACTTCTGTTTTATAATAGTCCTTCGTGAGACTAGTAAGTCTAATGGCATAGCTTGAGCGTACACCAACCATGTGGGTGCTGCTTAATTGCATGGGTGCTGTGTAACTTGAGTGCTCCCCTAGAATGAACTGATGTGGACATGGAAAAAGGAATTGTGTGGCCTGTTGTCTAGCCAGTGATGTTACATCCATTGAGCTTTCCTCTTATGTTGGGCATTATAGGCAGAGTTCATGTCTAAGACTCAGTTGAATTGTCATGTTTCATAGTTGTGTTTCTTGCCCTTGCCATTGGTCTTTATGGCTGTGCCTTTCTACCCAGTGCCTGCAAGAGGTATTTTTCTGTTAATAAATATACAGTGCATGCCGAGTGGTTTTCATGGGTTTTCAAGCCACCTGCTTGAATACAGCCTGCTATTTGGCAGCCAGAGCATTTTGTAGCAATATGTCTTCCTATTCTTGCCTTCCATTATTCAGGTACTGTATTCTGTCTTTCTTATGGTTCTTAGATGTCAACTGGTACAAATCAGTATAAGAAGGCAAGCGTTACCATTCTAGTACTGTTACAAAAGGAAGATTTCTTACTCAAGATCTATATGCCATAGTTTTATGCAGGCTGACTGTAAACCCATCATTTTTTCTTAGGGGAAAGAATTAACCTGGCTTCTCATACTATTCTTATAGTCATGAGTATAGGTAGCTGAGCTTTTGTATATGCATTACAGAATTTTACTGAAAACAGGATTCCTTAGTGAAAATGTCCAAAGGGCTCAGTACCCATAGCTTCTGCAACATGCAGTTAATGTCCTATTGGAATATGTTAATTGTGTTCTATAATCTAGACTGGTCTAATCTGGCATTGTTCCTTCAAAAATAATTATTATTCCAAAAACATCTGAAAATGCAATTGAGTAAAAAAAAAATCAATTCTAATTCTTTTTCTTAAATCTGCAAATTGCCAATAATGACTTTGGCTTATATATTCTAATTATTCTGATGCGCAACAGTTTGAAAGGGTTTTTTATATATGTACACATTTAAAACACAAATTACTTAACTTATCTTATTGGGCTATAAAATTAGGACTTGTGCACTTTATTAAAATTTGTTGTTAATAAATAAGACCAGACATCAACATATTTATGGCAGCTGTTATGGCTGCATTGTTATAGCTATTTTCCCCACAATTATGTGAAGTTTGTCATGCTCCTGTAGATCAATGCAAGTGCTGGAATTTCTGCTATAGAGTCTGATAGCTGAAGCAAAATAACTTGCTTCCCCAAAGCACAAAAGGATAATCTCATGGTTCTTTTTTAAACCAGCACCTAGAAAGGAGTAGGAGTAGGGATGAGAATACTTCCGTTCAAAACAAAACCTACTGTTCAAAAAATTAACTTGGGGTTATCTTCTCAATATCCCAAAGATGCTTTTTCACAAGACAAGTGGACTTTCTTGTTTTTCTTTGAAGATGTTTCGCTTCTCATCCAAGAAGCTTCTTCAGGACTGACTGGATGGTGGGGAATGAAAGGATTTATATTCCTTGCAGACAGCTGTTTATTTGCAGTCTTTTAGCCAGTCATTAAAGTTACCTAGAGGCTTATCTGTGTCTTCAGGGTCACCTGAGTAGTGCAAATGGCTGTGGAGCCTTCTTGGAACTGATGAAAGGACGTAGACTGGAGATAGATGGTGTGGGATCCCTCTCCCTCTGTTGAGAGACGGCTGTTCAGTTTTGACATAGGTGGCCTCTTTGACTCCTCTTTCAAACCAGCGGTCCTCTCTGTCCAAAATGTAGACTTTGCTGTCTTCAAAAGAGTGGCTTTTGTCTTTTAAATGCAGATGGACTGCTGACTCTTGTCCTGATGGGTCAGGTCAAGCCTCCACTTTTAGCACTAACGACTTGCTAAAAGAATGCAAATGAACAGCTGTCTGCAGGGAATATAAATCCTTTCATTCCCCATCATCCAGTCAGAGCTGAAGAAGCTTCTTGGATGAGAAGCGAAACATCTTCAAAGAAAAACAAAGTCCAGTTGCCTTGTGAAAAAGCATCTTTGGGATAACTATGACCTAGATGACTGAGAATCTCCATAGACATCTTCTCAATATATTTTGGTGTTTTTTAGAAACAAATGCTTTCTTCTTCAAAATGATCCAATTTTAACGCTGTGAACATACTCTTTATCATCCACATTGGCTCACTAATGCTTTTAATGTAGGCACAGCAAGCTAGCTAGTCAATTGACAAAATTATTTAGTTCAGATGACCTTACGTGTTCAGAAGTAAGTTTTGTAAGATGGCTATAAAGTTACATGTTCTTGATGACAACACGTTCCTTGATAAAGATGCTTATCCAAAAGGACTGAAAGAATGATAGCTTATGTATATCTCTACTACTCTTCATAGGATGTTTGAATCATGAATAGCCCTTTTGTGGAAGAAATTCTATCCTGAAATGTAGATAAAGTAAATTGAATGTGACGTACAAATAGGATTAGAATTTGCATTTATATGACTTGTATTTTACCTCCCTTAAGTTTCTAAACGTATTTGTCCACGTTAACCCAATCCATATAGGAGATAAATAATTTAAATTATAATAACACATAACAAATATCGCAATATCACCAGGTTGTTTTGATTGCCAAAAGTTACCCCATTTTTTTAAATTAAAATATTTTCAAAAACCAATTTTTAATTTTGTAAGGTTTTATGTAAAGTGATTCTATAATGGGAAAGAGAAAAGTCCAATCACTGCCCCAAATAATAACTTTCATGATTGATTTGATCATATATGCTTATATCTTAAGAATGTATCTTTGTTGGCCCTGATTTATGTTGAGATAGAGTAGGAGAGAAGATGCCTTCCTACAAAACCAGCTGTGTTAGTATCTTCTCTGAACTGAGAGAAAAGTATTTTTAAAAGTCCAAAGGTGTTGCTCTTTTTCTTAAAAAAAAATTGTGAATATGTTATTTTTTTTATATCTTTGGATTCCTTTCCCAAAGGCTATTCATTAGTACTGCCCTTCAATGCTCCCACTCCAAAGTTGCACTTGGTATTACAAAACTTCTTGCATTTCTGTGTACTACTAAAATTCTCATGTCTGTTTGATTATTTTTAACCTTCATTAAGAATAAGGCAACCATTTTTGAATCAACATAACTCAAATGAGCTAACATAAAGAATGCATCCAAAATCCGGGACTCGTGCTCCCATAGGATTTAAATTTGGCAAAGTTGTTGGCTCTTCAGTGCTGCCGTACCGACACAGCACATGATCATCATTTCCAACTCTCCTTGCAATTTCCTATAAGAAAAGTCAATGGGGAACCCAGCAGAAGTTGGAAGCTACTCCTGATTCCATAGCTTTTTTACCAGCCCCTGGTCATTCTGTTTCTTTGTTAGGTAAGGAAATATTTCTGAAATGATGACCCCAAGGGGCTCATGGGAGGTTTATTTCAATGGAAATGCATAGAATTCAGTATTAAGTCAGCTTTTGGTTAATGGTGTTTTAAGGACGTCTTCACTAATTGCAGTGTTAATGTTATTAATTTTGATTACTTCAGCTTAGATCTCCAAGCAGCTTTGCTCCCTTATATTTTAAGAAAGCACTTTAGTCTGTCATATCATGCTAATCTATTTTTAATCTCACAGAATCCAACCCAGATTATTTCAGTGCCTAAAGATCAATATGCATGATTGTGTTTGCATT